GAGGTGCAGGAGCTCATTAGCATAACTTATTTGCATGGGCCACACCCCCTGACATCACCGGAAGTGTGTCAGAAGGCAACACCCACCGCTCAGGCGCCACTGGACTGTTTTGGATTGCTAGCTATGGGGGAGGGGGGAACGTGCAGATCTGTCCTTGCAGAGGAGGGAGAGCTTGTACCTGAACGAAACTTGGTCTTAAAGGTGCCACTGGACTGGGGTTTAATTATGGCAGCTGATATTTTCCTTGATGATTTTTAATAGTGATGATTTTTAAATGTAACTTTTGATGCTTATTGGCAGGTTCACTATAAGCTACCTGAGGCCTATAAGCCACCTTGGGCCCTCTGAGGGAAAGGAGGGGTACCAACATTTTAAATAAAGACATAGTAAATATGGTAGATGTCGAATATGAATCCAGGGGAACCTTTAAGACCAACAAAGTTTTATTCAAGGTATCCGCTTTCGTGTGCACGCGCACTTCTTCAGATACATTGAAATGAAAATTGCCGGTCCATGCATATAGAGAGAGGGTGAGCCGCAAATTAGCATTCAGCTTCATAAAGGTGTTTAACAGATGCAAGGACCAAACTGGAATAACAAGCTTAGTTTATACGGTCACCATTTGTTTGGGTTTTATTCCGGGGGGGGGGGCCAAAAGGAAACTTATATCGGAAGGATAGGGGGGGAGGGGTTGGGGGGGGGGGAGCTCTTGTTGTGGAGGGAAAAATAGACATTGTGGGTATTTCTGAAACTTGGTGGGATGAGGAAAATCAGTGGGACACAGTGATTCCCGGTTATATATTATATCGGAAGGATAGGGGGGGAAGGGTTGGAGGTGGGGTAGCTCTGTATGTCAGAGAGGGTATAAAGTCTAGAAAGATTGAGAGGCTAAGTGAATTGGATTCGCTTCTGGAAGTTCTATGGGTTGAAATAGGGGGGCCAAAAGGAAACTTAACACTGGGAGTTTGTTATCGCCCACCAGATCAAAAGATAGAGGAGGATTATAAAATGATGAATGCCTTAAAGATAGCAACTAGACAAAAACACTGTGTAATAATAGGTGATTTTAACTACCCACACATTGATTGGGTCAATATGTGTTCTAGTCGGGAAAAAGAGATTGAGTTTCTAGACACTCTAAATGACTGTGCTATGGAGCAGATGGTCACGGAACCTACCAGGGGAGAGGCGATCCTTGATTTGGTCCTAAGTAACACTCAAGACCTGGTGAGAGATGTAAAAGTGATTGCACCGCTTGGAAACAGTGATCATAATGTTGTTGAGTTCATCATTTGTACAAATAGAGAATTGGCCAAAAAGACTCACACAACCATTTTTAACTTTAAAAGGGGTAATTTCTCTGATATGAGGGGACACGTGGGGAGGAAACTGAAAGGAAAAGTAGAAAGGGTCAAAACAATTGGGGAAGCTTGGGATCTATTTAAAACTACGATCCTAGAAGCTCAAAAAATATATATTCCGCAGGTTAGGAAAGGCACAAACAGGTATAGGAAAAAGCCTGCATGGTTAACAAACAGAGTAATGGAGGCTGTAAAAAGTAAAAAGAATTCCTTTAAGCAGTGGAAAGCTAGTCACAGTGAGGCTGATAAAACGGAACACAGGCTATGGCAAATAAAATGCAAGTCTGAGGTCAGGCAGGCAAAAAGGGAATATGAGGAGCATATAGCAAAAAACGTAAAAACCAACAATAAAACTTTCTTCAAATACATTAGAAACAGGAAACCAGCCAGGGAGGCAGTGGGGCCCTTGGACGACCAAGGGGTAAAAGGAGTATTGAAGGATGATAGGGAAATGGCTGAGAAGCTAAATGCATTTTTTGCCTCCGTCTTCACTGTGGAAGATGAGAAGTGCTTGCCCACTCCAGAACCACTGATTTCAGGAGGGGTGTTGGAAGACCTGAGTCAGATTGAGGTGATGAGAGAGGAGGTCCTAAAACTGATAGACAACTTAAAAACTGAAAAATCACCAGGCCCAGATGGCATACATCCGAGAGTTCTGAAAGAACTCAAATGTGAACTTGTAGATCTCCTGACAAAGATATGTAATCTTTCCTTAAAATCTGCCTCCATTCCTGAGGATTGGAAGGTAGCTAATGTCACTCCCATCTTTAAAAAGGGTTCCAGAGGAGATCCGGGAAATTACAGGCCAGTCAGTCTGACGTCGATACCGGGTAAATTGGTGGAAACCATTATTAAGGAAAGAATTAGTAGGCACATAGATGAACAAAACCTATTGAGGCAGACTCAGCACGGTTTCTGTAAGGGAAGATCTTGTCTCACTAACCTGTTAGTGTTCTTTGAGGGGGTGAACAAACATGTGGACAAGGGGGATCCAATAGATATTATTTACCTTGACTTCCAGAAAGCTTTTGATAAAGTTCCTCATCAAAGGCTCCTAAGTAAGCTCAAAAATCATGGGATAGAAGGACAAGTCCTTTTATGGATCAAAAACTGGCTAGTTCATAGAAAACAGAGAGTGAGTGTAGGTGGGCAATTTTCTCAGTGGAGGGTGGTAAGCAGTGGGGTACCGCAGGGATCAGTACTTGGTCCACTGCTTTTTAACTTGTTCATTAATGATTTGGAGATGGGAGTAAGCAGTGAAGTGGCTAAATTTGCGGATGATACAAAGTTGTTCAGGGTGGTGAAAACCAGTGAGGATTGTGAGGCACTCCAAGGGGATCTGTCAAGGATGGGCGAGTGGGCGTCAACATGGCAAATGGGGTTCAATGTGGCCAAGTGCAAGGTGATGCACATTGGAGCCAAAAATCCTAAATATAAATACACATTGATGGGGTCTGAACTGGCAGAGACTGAGCAAGAGAGAGATCTTGGAGTTGTAGTGGATAACTCACTGAAAATGTCGAGACAGTGTGTGACTGCAATAAAGAAGGCCAATGCTATGCTGGGGATTATTAGGAAGGGTATTGAAAACAGATCAGCCAATATAATAATGCCCCTATATAAATCAATGGTGAGACCTCATTTGGAATACTGTGTGCAGTTCTGGTCACCACACCTTAAAAAGGATATTATAGCTTTGGAAAAAGTGCAGAAAAGGGCAACTCGAATGATAAAAGGGTTGGAACACTTTCCCTATGAGGAAAGGTTAAAGCACTTAGGGCTCTTTAGCTTGGAGAAAAGACGACTGAGGGGTGACATGATCGAGGTTTATAAGATTATGCATGGGAAAGAGCAGGTAAAGAAAGAGGTACTTTTCTCCCTTTCTCACAATACAAGAACCCGTGGGCACTCCATGAAATTGCTGAGCGGTCGGGTTAGAACGGATAAAAGGAAGTACTTCTTCACCCAAAGAGTGATTAACACATGGAATTCACTGCCACAGGAAGTGGTGGGTGCTACAAGCATGGACGGCTTCAAAAGGGAATTAGATAAGCATATGGAGCAGAGGTCCATCAGTGGCTATTAGCCACAAGGTATAGCTAGGGGCTCTGGGGCAAGTGATGCTCTGTCTTCTTGGTGCTTGGGGGGGGGGTCAACAGTGGGAGGGCTTCTAATGTCCTGGCCCCACTGCTGGACCTCCTGATGGCACTGGTATTTCTGGCCACTGTGTGACACAGAGTGTTGGACTGGATGGGCCTTTGGCCTGATCCAACATTGGCGTCTCTTATGTTCTTATGTTCTTATGACACAGTGAAGGAAACAAATTATATCAGAATCGGAGACTTATGGGCAGATGTGCCCTCCTTAAATGTGGAATGCTGAGACTAATTAACTGAGACCCTGCTGTGCTTACCTTCTGCCTATATGTATGGACTGGCAACTTCCGTTTCGATGTATCTGAAGAAGTGTGCGTACACACAAAAGCTGATACCTTGACTAAAACTTTGTTGGTCTTAAAGGTGCCACTGGACTGAGACTTGGTTCTGCTGCTTCAGACCAACATGGCTACCCTCCTGAATTGTGGGGCTCTGAGGTCCCGTGCTATGTTGGAGGGGGGAGGTATTATGATGCCAGGTACCGGAGATATAAACTTTATAAAGGACACAGGCAACCCCAATGAACAATATAATTTTTTTACTCAAAATACAAACAAAAGCAATTGATTCCTAGCGGTGAAAGCCATTGATTTACTGGGGAATCCACAAAAGCCCCAATAAATGTTTTAACCATATGCAAGACTAGGTTTTTTCCCCAAGGAATACCACAAAAGGGAGAGTACCCTTTTGTAAGCAAGATCACAAGCTGAAAGATCTGTTTCAGCATCCCTGCAGTGGAGCGAGTTGGCCAGGCGGTGGCAGTGTGGCAGCGCGACATCAAGAAGCCTTGACGTCATCAGCCAGCCGATGTCGTCGGAACACGACTGATCCAGCTCGCAGTTGAATCCCCGGCCAGCTACAATGTGTGTGTAATTAAAAATACTGTATGTTGTCTTCCCTATCCCCCATGAGTATTGTTAGTCCAACTGTTATGAGTAACTGTAAATCGCTCTGAGCCCACAGGTGTGTGGGAAAAAGCGATCAGTAAATCGAAAGTATTATTATTATTATTATTATTATTATTATTTTGCTTGAGGGCCGGGGAAGAGCTCCGAACGGGCCGCTTTTGGCCCCCGGGCCATACGTTTGACACCCAGCTCTGTAGGGTCGCCATAAGCAATGTTCCCTCTAAGCTGTGGAGTCTTGTGAGCAAAAATTCTACTTTGTGAGCTACTGGCATTAAAGTTGTGAGCAAGTGATTTGGGTACTGAATAAATTAGTTTGCTCTGGAGCCCTCCTTCCTGAGCCAAGACAAAAATCTGTGAGCTGGAGGCTAAAAAACTGTGAGCTAGCTCACACCAACTCAGCTTAGAGGGAACACTGGCCATAAGTTGTCTGCGACTTGTCGGCACTTTCCACTAATAATATGGCTGCTTGCAACATGTTTATGGGTGCACTATCCGGATAAGAATCTCTGTGATCTCCCCCCCCCCCCCCTCCAGGCCCAGCCATGGGGCCATCCCAGCGCAGTGTATAGAGCTGCCAGGCTCTGAATGCTCAAGGCTGATGCTCCGGACCCTTGGTGTGTGCAGGAGCATTCTGCGTGCGCGGCGGCAGAGCGGGCACCTCCAAGCCATGGCGGCCCAGAGCAACAACATGGGTTCCAGTCCCGTAGCGAGTTCCTCGGACGGATCTGTGACAGCGGGGATCATCATTATCGGGGACGAGATCTTGAAGGTACGATGCCCGCTGAGTGTTTTTAGGATGTGGGCAGGTCCAGGTGGGGCGTTTGCCCAGCGTCGCTTCTGGTTGAGGCTTGGAGATTTGATCTTCACAGTGTGACTGAAAGTAAGCTGCGGCGGCCATTTTGTGGCGGACTCTGCTGTTTCCTGGCGGCCATTTTGTGGTCAGACCCCTCCACTCTGTGGCGGAATTACAAAGGTGGCCGCAGGTTCCAAAAAGGTTGGGGGACCCTTGCCCTGGTCTGACACCGTGACACTAGGCCACGCAATTTCAACCCATTTTGGGTGGGGGGGGGCAGGTTATTCGCGATCTTGAAAACAGGGTTGCCAGACCCCCAGTCCAGGTGGGAGTCTCCTGCTTTCGTGTGCTCCCCCCCCCCCATTATCCCTTCTTACCTCTGAGAAGCCAAAAATAACTGCAGCATGCATACATAACCCAGAAGAGATGTAGGCACATCAGGCGGCATAAGAGTTTTGCCCCCAGAACATAAGAGTTTGGCCCCAGACCAGAACATCACTGCCCAGCGTGCATACGTCACTTCCTGGTGACGTAAGGACGTCGCAGTGCTCCTTCCTGCTCCTGGAAAGTTCCCTCCCACCTCCTGCTGGTGCGTCGATGGGACCTAGCAACTCTGCTTGAAAATAAGCCAGTTTGGTGTCGTGGTTAAGTGTGTGGACTCTAATCTAGGAGAGCTAGGTTTGATTCCCCACTCCTCCACTCGCACCTGGCTGGATGACCTTGGGCAGGCCATAGTTCTGACAAGAGCTGTCCTTGAAAAAGAACAGTTTCTGTCAAGAGCTCTCTCAGCCCCACCTACCTCACAGGGGGTCTGTTGTAGGGAGGGGAAGGGAAAGGAGTTTGTAAGCTGCTCTGAGACTCCTTTGGGTAGTGAAGGGCGGGATATAAATCCAATCTCCTCCTCCTCTTCTTCCTCTTCCTCTTCCTCTTCATCATCAGAGACGCCAATGTTGGATCAGGCCAAAGGCCCATCCAGTCCAACACTCTGTGTCACACAGTGGCCAGAAATACCAGTGCCATCAGGAGGTCCAGCAGTGGGGCCAGGACATTAGAAGCCCTCCCACTGTTGACCCCCCCCAAGCACCAAGAAGACAGAGCATCACTTGCCCCAGAGCCCCTAGCTATACCTTGTGGCTAATAGCCACTGATGGACCTCTGCTCCATATGCTTATCTAATTCCCTTTTGAAGCCATCCATGCTTGTAGCACCCACCACTTCCTGTGGCAGTGAATTCCAAGTGTTAATCACTCTTTGGGTGAAGAAGGACGTCCT